AGCAGATGGAAGATGAACGATGGAACTGCTGAATGAAGCCCAGTTTTAATCTTGTGTTGTATCAGCCAGGCCATTCACTACTGTTTCTTTCTATTAGGTTTTACTTTTACCTGCAAATAATCTGTCTCCTGTACTTATTTAATGGTGTGTCAGATGCCCTTCCCAATCAATGACTTTAAAGGTAATGGAAATTCAGCATAGTTGCCACAGCAATTGTCAATTCATTGGTCAAAGGTATTCAGAATGGAAGCTGAAAGATAATTTGTTTTGTTTTGTATTGTTATTTAATCTTACGGCCTACCTGATTCTACAGTTGATCTATATAGACTTGAGACTGGTCAAAAGGTACTGGTTGCATGTCTCTGTTGAACTTTAGATATCATGATTTATTTTTTACAGTTTTTACAGGTTTTCATTTAGTGATCTTTCTTTTTCTGTTCTTGGGGTTGGCACCATCAGTTCTCAATTGTGCCTCCCAGTGGCTGTAATACCACACTACCATTCCAAATATCCTCCTTGGCATTGTTAGCATAATTTTAGGTTACACATTCCTTTGTATTTACAGATCGTCCACCTCCATCTTTTCTACAAGCATTTCTGTGCAAATATCTCCGCTGTGCCCAATTGCTGGCCCTATCTTCTCATCTGTATTCTGTGCTGAAAATGCAGTCGAGATACAAGCAAAAAAGAGAAAAAAAATATCCATCCCTCCCTTTCTCTATAGCACTGCCTCACAGCCGCCTACCTTACCTTCACCACCCTCCCAACTACCACTCTGACTCATACTGAAATCCCTGCACCCCCCCCTGCCCCCTCTCCTCCCCGCACTCATTTGTGTTTTCTCTGCCTTTGATTGCCAACGAACAGGGCAAGACTGGAATGAACAAATCAAAACGTTGGGAGGGATAGATAGAAGAAAAAGAAGAAGAGAGGAGGAGAGTTGGTGCTTCCTTAATGAGGATGCTGTCAAAGCTATAGGGAGGAGGAGAGGAGGTGGAGGAGGGAGAGAGTGGGCGTTTATTAGAGGAACCCCTCTTGCTCGCCCACACACACATAGCTGATGGTGGTGCGGTGTCCTCCTGCCAACTAAAACTAAATGTGTGAGAATGCAAAGCTACGCGGCACACTAACTCCACAAACGCCCACACCGAGACAGTCAATGTGAACCTGCTTCAACTCCAAACTTTTGTGAACGTGCATTACAACTATGGCAGAGAGAAAAGAAACTCGCCAATTCATTATTTTAATCAATCAAGTTCAATTCAAGAATAATAATTATTGAGTAAAACTGCCCTATCCTTTACATTGACATTTTTACATTTTAAAGATTCTAAATATGGAGTGACAAATAGGAGAGGAATAAGGTATGTAATGAATCTTCAAGGGGTAGTAACATAAGGGCCAATATAATGGATTATTGGAAAAGATGTACTGCTTAATGAGAGTACATGGTGTAGTAAGAGTAGACCTAGTAGAGTTAAAAATATTGAATTTAATATTTTGTAATAATAATTATTATTACATTGAATATTTTCTTTAATTGTATTTTTTCCTGAGCTTTGGAAAGCTGCACTAGTGTTATTCAAATAAAGTGTATTGAATTGGATTAAAAGAACTGTATTGGCCAATAGTAGTTGGAGCGACAGTGATAATATAAGGAGTAAGCAGCCAGGGGCCATTCGTAGTAAAAAAAAAATTAAAAATACATAAAAATGTAGCTAGAGGTTCTAGTTTAGTCTCAACTCAGTCTTATTAAGTCAAGTCTCAAGTTTATGACTCAATTCTGACTTACATTCAAGTCACGACTTTCAAGTTCACACCACTGGTAGTAGAACTGGTATTTTTTGTGCTGGTTTTGTAATCACATAACAATTGTAATACGTTCCGCATTTCAAATATCTACTTTTACTTGAGTACTTTTTCCATCTTTTGTTTTTCCATACACATCATATACTATAAGATGAAACCAAGTTACCTGTGACGACATTTCACTCCAGATTTCATTACGTTGCTCTTGTGCTGGAAGGATGCCGGCATGTGCTGCCCTTCGCCTCAAAGTCAGGCGTCATTATTTTCCATTTTTCACATGCACTCAGCCATAATGAGTCACAACAACTTTACCACATTATCCAAAGTCATATGCTGAATGTAGTGTGTGCAGTGCCAGCTGAAGGCCTGAGATGACTCAGGACATTTGCTGGTGTATGTCTCCGTTTGTGTGACTAAAATCTGAGATATAAATGTAGTGCAGATTGACAGGAACCACATGTCCAGGGCCTGGCTTTCACAACATGATGAAACACAATGGGGAGATGTCTAAACATGTCTAGCCAGTGAGTTGATGAACAGTACTGTGCAGAAGAAAGCTGACTTTCAAAGTAGACTTGTGTGCATGCAGAATTTTCTGTAATCTTCCAAATGTACATACATAATCCTTGCTTTATAACTGCCAAATTGTTTGTGTATTAAGTAACACAGCATTGGTGTGAAAATATGTTTGTAAGGCTTTATTTTTGCAAAAATTTTGTTTTGAAGTGGAAGAATTATATTTGTTACTTTTGCACCCACTGAAGATTCAAACCTATTATGAGTCTTGTACAATGAAGTATTGGATATGTACAGTATAATATTTAGGCTTCACAATATAACATAGATTAATGGGTCTACCTGCAAAGGTGAATATGACATTTTATAGGCTATACAACTTCATTTCAGCTAGGTCACTCACTAATACTCAGTTAAGGATATTTGATATAATCTAAGATCTTAAATTAGAGTGTAAATGTTGTTTAAACTACTTCCACAAAATATAAGTATTGCTAAAGAATACTGACCACTATCCAAAAGGTTGCTGGTCTCAATAATTAAAAGTGCATACTGCCCTCATGCTCTTGGGGGAGACTGCATCCACCTTTCCTATAGGAGTGTTACTGAGAAGTGAATGAATAATGCACCAAATAATAAAGAAGTTTGGTTTACCAGCACCAGCTTTTACATCTGCATTTGAGGCTGTTTCCAGTATCAACTCCATATCTTCACATTACTGAGCACATATTGAAGTAATCAGCATGTAATTGACATCTATACCTGTTCTATGTAATTTATTATCATACACTGCATGTTGTTCAAATCATAGTTGTTTCCACTGGTCCATAGATGTTGGTTTAAAATTCAGTTCTCACTCTGGCTCCACTGCACTGACACATCACTGCATGTTCCCTAACACATATTGTCTTGCTGCTCATCCCTCCCCTGCCTTTGCTCGGTGAATTATACATTAAAACCAGTCAAAATCATAGTCATTCTCCAAGCACCTAATGCCTAAAACGATCCACTGGCCCCTAAATTCTGTGTATGTCATTTTAATATGTCAGTTACATTTTTTTCACAGTTCATTTTTCAACCTGAGCATTCATGTTCTGTCCCCCCTTAAGCGAGTTGTCCCAGCTATGTCTCTGTCGCTCAGTGCTGACAGTGGTCCCCCATCTGTCCTCCTCCTCCAAGTCACATCTAAAAGTCATCGCCTCCCACCTCTAAAGGGCCACTGGGGGGAAGACAAAGTGAAAATGAGATCCAAAAGGGAGGGGTTGGAGATATAGTGGTGCGATTGGGCCAGAGAAAACCCCCCAACATCACAAATTCACCTGCTTCCCCCGCGTTTCTGCTCATCTGTATTCAGGGTGTCTCCTCCTGCATCACCCCTGTCCTTCTCTCTCTCTCTCTCTCTCTCTCTCTCTTTCTCTCTTCACCTGCATCGCGGTGCAGCACTGACAATCAGAGAAAAGTCTCCAGTCTCTCTCTCACACATACACCGGGGAGACACACGCCCACCACTTCCGGCAGCCCCCACCTCCTCTCACTTCTTCCCCACTGCAGACACGAAACCCATTTTTACAACTCTCACTCTACTGTAGCTGGTTAAAGCCTTATCTTCAAGCTGTATTATTTTACCTTGAGTGATGCTTATTACATACATCCATATGCCACTTATGCAACAGCTCTAGTTATGTGTAGGTGCCTCAAGCTGTTTTAATTAGCATCACAGTTGGCCATTTAAAATTGAAACTTTTGGATAAGACATCCAATAGAGTTGTTGGTTAATTCACAGTAGAGGTAGATGGTAATTGCATGATGGTGATATGTATTACTGTTCAGCAGTAAAATATTTTTATTTTACTGCTTTCATTACTATAAAAGAATAGTGTGGGAAGGGCTACATACTGGAGACACCGGCCCTTTAATTTTTAGTTGCTGGGGGAATCAGGTGTTTACTTTATGATCTAATGAAAAATCTGTGAACCCACACATCCACTTTCATGAGCCAAAGTCTCCTGTTGGGGCTTTAACAGATGAAATTCTAATCTATAGCCTTCATTGGTTTCTGAAAAGTTAATGATTCATTTTGACTGCATCACTAAAAATAGTCTAACTGATGGGAGTTGTGAGCAACCTAGTAAATATCAGCCCAAGTTTTCTTAGTCAATTTGAAGACATGCTGCAGTTGAGCCAAATTAACCCCCAATAGTTATCATGGGAAATTGTGACACCCAGTGGTGACTGCACCAAACTGCTCATACACGATATACAGTAGGCTATACATCAGTCTCTTTATGTAATGTGGACTTTCAAGCTCCCTTCCCCTGGTTTAAATAGGCCTCGGCCTATGGGCCAATTTTACGTAACGATTGCATAACAACACACTTCACTGCATAAATATATCCTTAAGCAAAGAAGAAAATATGTATCTGCTGCAATTTATTTATTTATGAATCAAGCATTCAAGCCCCAAAAGATGCCACGAATAATACAAATTAAAAATGCTATAATAGACTATAATGGTATATAAATAAAGATACAGAATCAAATTATGATATGCCCTGGCGCAAATGAATAACTATGCACACTTCCATAATTCATATGAAAAATAACAAGCATTCGTGATTCGTGCAGAAGTCATAATCCACACTGCTCTCGCTGCGGTTCAAATGGACTAGGGCGGCCACCGTAGTTGTTATGTTTGTTTTAGTGAAAGCAAAAATGGCGAACGATCTCGACAGAGTGCGAATCTCTGCAGCGGAACTCCGTGCTGAAGTCTCAAATTCTGTCAAAATCAACAGTAGTCAGAGAGGTGAGAAGAAATATCAGCTATTTGTAATGAATTGGTCTGTTTAAATGTCCAGGTATCTGAAAATTTTAACTTTTGAGTGAGCTTAAAGTATACCAAAGAGTCTCTCAAGTTTGTGTCGTGCTAATGTTGTTAGCATCTTAGCTTTCTGTTCTTTACACGTTCCCGCTTCCACGAAACAAACTAATTGCATTTTGTAACTGCTTTTGCCTACTTTTGACATTGTATTAAATTTCAATGCGGTCGTGTTTGCAAATATTACAACTAGTAAGACGTCCCCCGTTAAAATTTTAACACAATTGAAAAGTAACTAACCTCTTTATCGTTAGTCATTAACATTAACCATTCGGGTTATTACATTGAATAATCTCAACCTGAAACAAAGGATTTATAATGCATTTTAAACGTGATTAGAAAATACAATTGATTTAGAAGTGTCTGCCCATTTGAGCCATAATCTGACCGGCATTACTTTCTGAAACATGAACTGCTATTACTTTAAAGTATGTTCATTATTCAACTTTCATCCGGTCGTGTTGTATTAAGCACGTGGATTTTTGTTTTTATGTGGTTTGTTTGGCTGTTAATCATTGAATTACTCTTCATTCAGGCCAAGTGTTAGGACATACGACGTTTACAAATCTATGAGGTGACTGACATTCACTTCATGATAGCTATAAATAAAACGTAAATAAATTAATTGCTAAATAAGAGGATCAACAGTGGCTAAAATGTTGTCTACTACAATTCCTTTTATGTAACATTTGCATATTCAAGTGACTTGAGTCAGAGGCTGAAGTGTTCAATCCACAATCCCTGAAATGAGCGTGTCAATCCCAGCTCTGACTAGTGCATAGTGCACATGCCATTGTTTCCCTGAGCCAGACATTAGATTTAACATTTAAATGTTGTGGTAGTTGATGGTCTGCAGTATTTATATGAACTTCCAAGTTAACACCCATTGTATTAAATGTTTGAGGATGTCTTAGCCCATTGTCAACTAATTATTTTGCTAGGATTATAAGAATTTAGTACACGGTGAGTTCATCCAGCCTTTTTTCTTGTATAAATACTTACGTTTACCTGGATGTAATATTAGATTTGTATAGGATATATTGATATTTAATTTTACAAATGTTTGCCATTGACCCTTTTAGTTAGTCAACTACAGCACAGGTGTTCGTGTCTTGTGAATGTTTTATAATAAAGATTTACCTGTTTTCTGTTATTTTCAAACCAAACTTTTATATTTATTTAGTAAAAATATATGTATATTTATAAATTGCATTTCATACTTAAATGTAACTCATTCTGCTTTCCTGTTTGTAGGACAAGAAAACAATCTAACAGAGGAACAGCAGAAGGTGCACAACCCACATAAGAAGCGTGAAGGGAAGAGGCCAGATCTGCAGCGATATCAGCCATCAGTAGGAAGGCGCCATAGGGACAGCGAGGAAAGTGACCCGATTATCCCTTGTCAAAATGCAGACCATGTTTCACTAGAATCACAAAAACTGCTCAAAACAAATGAAAAGATGGCACATGGACAGGAGAGCACAGATGGAGGAGCTGTTTCGAACAAAAGAATGGAAGATCGAGTGAGAGGTGATGGTAGTAACACCCAGAACTCTAAAAAAACACCACCACCCGCTAAAACAGAAGAGAATCGGGAAAAGGACTGCGTTGATAATGACGGGGAACAACAGGAACTTGCCGGAGCTGCGAAGACGCCAAAAAAGACTCGAAAACCGGACAGAGAATTTTATCAACCTGGCAGCCGAAGAAAGGATGTTCGAGAGCAAGACAAATCTGTGAATAAAAAGAGTGAATCACAGCCACATTCAAGTACATCAGAAAAGGAAGGAGATAAAAATAGTTCAGCACAAAAGAAAGCCGTGATGGAGACCACTGTTGAAAATAAGACCTCACCATCAGAGGCGTCAATGGAAAAACTGCTGAACAAAGTGGAAAATCTTAGTGTAAAGGAAAAAAGCAAATCAGGAGAGAGAGGGGAGGGGAAGGGGGAGGGCAACTCTAAAAATGCAAAGCAATTGGATAAAACTAAAAAAACTAAAAGTGTTGAGAAATCAGAAGAAGATGTTAAAAAGAAATCAAATCGTAGGAAGAACGACAAAGGAGAACTGGACAAAGACAAAACACATAGAGCTGGAGAGGAAAAACAACGCAAATCCAAAGAACCTCGTAAGAAAGGAGACAGTTTCCATAATGACAAGTCACAAGACACTGTCAAAAAAGTTAAAAGTGAGCTACCTGAGAACAGGCCTGTAGAAAGAGCAGATCAAAACAGGCCCACTCCAAATTCAAAACGTTACTCTAAATCTGACATAAGGCGATCCCGAAATCGAACATACAGCAGTAGCTCAGCCAGCAGTGTAACTAGTCTAGATGGTCCCAGGGCAGTGGCAGAGACTAGGAGGCGGCCCAAGCCTAAAGATAATCCAAAAGAGACCATAGTTTTAAACAAAGAAGGCCGAAGGAGTCATTTGCAAAGCTGGACAACAAACGGAGAATCTGACACTGAATCACTAGATGGGAGTGAGGCCAGTGACATAGTAGAGGACAGAAGGAGGAAAAATGTTGAAAGAGGTGTGGGAAGATGGAGAGAAGATGGAAATAGACTGAACAGAAATAAAGACGAAAGTAGGGGTGTCCTTAAAGTGTCACAAACAAATGTAGCATCACAAGGTGTGGAGACGCAATATCGTAGACAAGTCATTGCTCCACGCGGCAGAGGAGGAGGGATTCTGGTGCTCCCCTCCCGCACTGACATCTCACAGCCGGCTGAGGTGGGACAGAGACTTTTTGGGGGGATTCGTGGAGGAGCAGCATCTCGAAGCAGAGGGGGGAGGGGAGGTGGGATGAGGAGACTGTGGGACCCCAATAACCCAGATCAAAAGCCAGCTCTTACAAACATACAGCAGAACTCAACTCATCAGCAACATGCGTATTTTCAGACAGGAACAGGCTACGGCCAGCTCCACTTCCTCGACACAGATGATGAAGTGGCAGGTAGTCCCCCAGTACAACAGGGGGAGCACATTCGATCCCAGCAGGCAGCAGCCATGGCTTATTATAAGTTTCAAAACTCTGATAATCCTTACTGCTATCCTGTGTCCTCCAACAACCCTACAGCTACCAGCAACCAGCGTTATGTCTATCCTTATATGGGACCTTACCAAATGGCCAATGGCATGTACACTGGTTCTGCAGTGGGGCAGTTTGTGGGGCCGTACAGAGGAGGTTACGGGCAACCTGGTACGGGAGGTAATGTGTCGTATGAAGAGGCAGAACAACAAGCCAGAGGGGAGCTGGGGCGCCTGCTGCGGGCTGCAGACGCTCATGAGGTCCAACTCAGTAACCTACTGTCCCGAGACAGGCTGAGCATGGAGGGACTAGATCGCATGGGTCAGCTCAGGTGAGCCAAATATTTCTCCATTATGTTTTTCTTTTTATACAGTACTTAATGGCAGGCCATACAATAAATGTTTCTATTAAATTAATTAATCGCCTTGAAGAGTAAACCAAATACCTTTGCAGTTGTTATATAACTTTATTTAACATAACATGTTTATTTAATCACTTCACTGTGATTGGAATATATAAGTAGGCAACCTATTCTGTGTTTTTTACCTTGAACGGCATTAAACAGAAACACTCTCACTTATGATGATGACAAGCATCAAGGGAGGTGGACATATTCAAATCAACATTTACTAACTTACTCAACATTTACTAACTTACTCAGAATTGCATTCCCATTAATCCATGCATGTTTGAGTAATTTATCTAGGGAATGACCAATACCTATTTATTTCAACTGATTGCAACTATGGTTTTCAGCTATTTTCTGTCCTATATGAAGTGCTAACGTCCAATATGTTGTGCTAATTTTAATATTTTTCTATTACAAACTCATCCACGACCCTATTTTACCACAAGCTGGATAAGAGAGCAGTGTAGTCATGTTTTGTTCAGTGCCCCCTTTGCGCTAGTATTGAAATAAAGGTTTATAACATCTTTTTAGGTATCTGGTTGACCTAAAATATCAGAATAAAATATCTGTTAGAGATTTAAGGCCAATACACTAAAAAGTGCAAATATCTGCATGATATATCTGCCAGTTGATATATCGATCTATCTCAAGTTTTGTCCTGCATTTGAGTGTGTTTGAGTACTGTTTTCACCTTCCCCCTATCTCTGCTCACAGGTCTGTAGGTAATTACAGTTATTTTTTAAAATTCCTACTCTGGGTATTTTATTGTCAAATAGCCATTTTTCAACAGTGAAAACCTGTAAATGAAAATGTGCTTCTCGCTAAGTGAAGTGGTGGGGTTTGTCAGTGCTGCACCCATCACCACCTTAACTCCACATATTGTCATATGTCACCACATGTCTGCTCTTGCTTCATACAAAACTGCCCATTCCAGACATAGTGTAGTAGTCGCTGCATTTAGTGTACTTTTCATAAGATTTGCAGTTTAAGGTTTATATTTGAACTGTATTTTAATGTGTGTAATGTATTTCTTCTTGTTCTTTAGGGCAGACCTCCTGTCCCTTTATGAACAGGTCATTTTATCAGACATTGAGTTCTCTGATTCTCAAAATGTGGACCAGGCTCTGTGGAAGAATGTCTTTTATCAAGTTATCGAACGCTTCCGCCAGTTGCTTAAAGACCCCAACCATGAGAGCAACCCGAGCACCAGAAACACACTGCTCACTCTGCTGGATGAGGTAAGAGAGATGAATTCATTTCAAAACAATCTAAAAAAAACATATCTTTGTGGCTTTACTTTTTATTGTTTTTAGGGAGCACTGTTTTTTGATACACTTCTTCAGAAACTGCAGACTGTGTACCAGTTTAAACTTGAAGACTATATGGACGGTGTGGCCATAAGAGCTAGACCACTGCGTAAAATGGTAAAATTTAAATGCATGAAATTTAAGATCCATAGCTCACTTTTCTTGCTCATTTTTAAACTAAGATATATTTGCATTTTTCAGGTAAAGTATGCTCTGATTAGTGCCCAGCGCTGTATGATCTGTCAAGGCGACATCGCACGTTACAGAGAACAGGCCAGTGACAGTACAAACTACGGCAAGGCTCGCAGGTCCGCTCACAGTCACACAAGTGACCCAAGCACCCTCAAATGTTCACACACATTTTGTTGTCAGGTTATTTAGGTTTTTGAGAGGTTTAAACTTTGTTCTTCCATTTTCTCCAGCTGGTATCTCAAGGCTCAGCAGATTGCTCCTAAAAATGGCAGGCCATATAACCAATTAGCTCTTCTGGCTGTCTACACTGTAAGGGGTGATTTATTTTTTTCAGATGGTAGCATAAATGCTGTTTATTTGTCATAACCTTTAAATATGGCACATTGCATTACAGAAAAGGAAGTTGGATGCTGTGTATTACTACATGCGGAGCCTGGCAGCCTCTAACCCTATTCTGACAGCAAAGGAGAGCCTTATGAGTTTATTTGAAGAATCTAAGCGCAAGGTAAGATTTAAACATTTAGTAATATTTGTAATAATGGACTGCCAAGTGAGTTATGGTCATTTCATTTTTTGATGTCAGGCAGAGCAGATGGAGAGGAAGATGAAGCAGGAGTCTGATGATGGTTCTAGGGGTCCCGCAGTGAGAGGGCGAGGCAGAGAGGACCGAGCCAGAGTGGAGATCTGGATCCGACCCACAGCACAGACCCCTGGCCTTTCCCAGCGTGGGGGCAGCGAATCCAGCAGAGACTCTGAGCAGGATGGAGATATGGGCACTCTCAGCACCAGTGATGTAAGCCCTAATATGATTTTAATTGCTCTTTTTAACCAGTGCTGTGCTTTCTAAATTAATTTTATTTGGAAATATTTACAGTGATAACAAGACTCCTAAGGACGGTTATTTTTGTCTCCAGAGCTGTGAAATGTTGTTGTCTGATTTTGTCTCCTGTTTTCTGATGACATGTTTCCTTGTTTAGAGCTGAACAGAACTGCCTGATGGTTAGTCATGCCTTGTCCTTCCTCTTTCTTTGCAGCTGAATAAAAGGTTCATTCTGAGTTTCCTGCATGCACACGGGAAGCTCTTCACTAAAGTGGGGTGAGTGAGGTTGTCTCTTTGAGCTGCTATGACTCATTGAATCTGATTGAGGAGTTTATGGTGACGACAAAAAGGTTAATGTGTTTTGGATTTGTTTCTCCGCAGGATGGAGTCCTTCCCTGGAGTGGCCTGTCGTGTCCTGCAGGACTTCAGGACACTGCTACAGCACAACCCGTCTGTGCTGGGCAGCACTCTCCTGCTGCAGATCATTACCATCAACATGTTCACCATCCACAACTCACACAGCAGAGGTATATGGAGACCAGGGCCTGTCAACAAGCAGCTTTAGCCCAAACGCTGAAAAGAGGTCACCTCAGAGTTTTCGGTTTCTCAAAAGAGCATTAAGTCAAACCCTAACCCATTCACCATGGTAACTCATTTTCTGAACATAACCAGATCCACAGATCCAGATTCACACAAGTACTGGTGACAATTAAAACAAGTATTAGTGATGAAGATTCAACTTTGATGTTTCCATTTCATACATAACTTAACAGTCCATTTTAATATCAAATAACTTATCCAATCACATCACTTCCCGTTCCTTTAAGATAGCAGCCCACTTTGGGTTGCCGTTGCCATACTTAAACTATTTTCTGGGATCCATTGTTCAACTTGAGTTAAGATGAGGAAAAAAGCCATGAACTCTGACTGGTCTGTACTGTTCAAACCTGTTCTGAAACTCTGAGTTGGCCTGGACTGAGTGCGCATTGTGAAATGGGGCCCAGGGGGCTGTGAAGAAAACATAAAGCATAACCTTGTACTTTCTCTGTGAATTTGGCTATCTTAATATTCAGTTCAATTAACAAACAAATGTAACAAAATTGTTGATTTAAACAAAAAATCTAAGTTATTCAAAGCAGTGTTAATTGGCAATAACTTTTTAATTCTTTTTTTTTTTTCCCCCAGGGGAGGAAGAAGAGGCACGGTCTGTTTTACAGGAGCAGAGTACGGCCCTTGGTCTGGCTATGTTTGCTCTTTTGGTGCAGCGCTGCACTGAACTTCTCAGAGGGACCCTGACTGGTAAGAGCTGCATTACTGTTGACCATGCTTAGACATTTTAAATAACCATACCATACTATTTCCCGTCAGACCCTATCTCCACTGCAGATGACAAACAGGAGCCAATGGTAAGGGTCTCTACATTTCCCATGGACCTGCGAGAACTCCTGCCCAGCATCAAAGTCTGGTCTGACTGGATGTTGGGACAACCGGATCAGTGGAATCCCCCGCCCTGCACCATAGAGTCAGGGTATGCTAGAACAAATTTTGACTGGTGACACTTTTCAGGCTTTTTAAAGGGAATAGTATTTTTTTTTTCCTTGATGCAGGTCCAACCCTGATGTGTGGCAGTGCTTGGCTGACCTGTGTAATGTGCTGGCCCGTGTGGACCATGAGGAGGTACCTCTGTATAAAATGGACTCTGACGAGATGGAGGGCGATGAGGATCTCATCCTGCTGCAGCTCAAAGAGGACAGACTGCTCGCTGGGTTTGTGCCACTACTGGCTGCTCCACAGGAACCGTGCTACACGGACAAACAGACAGATATGGTAAATCTCTTACTTCTGTTGAATCTAATATTTTTTTTACTCCTCAAATATTGCTTTTTTCTTGCACATTTCAGACTATCGCAGCTGACTGTAAGAGAGTAACAGTGCTGAAGTACTTCCTTGAAGCCTTGTGTGGACAGGAAGAGCCTCTACTGGCCTTTAAAGGGGGCAAATATGTGTCTGTGGCATGTCCTCCTCCAAGCACAAATTTAACAAATTGCCACGTTCTTCCAGTAGAGAAAGAGGTGAGACTTACCCCTTACTCATTCACAATGCACAACTCTCTTTTCTGTAATGCTTGTTTGCCATGTGTTCACAAGGCGGATGATGTGATTGTGGAGGCAGAGTCCTCTGTCTCTGCGTCAGAGGCAGATGAGATTGAAGAGGCCGATGATGGTGAAAATGGCATTAAGCAGCTGAGGGCGCGACGCCACGCTCTGGTGAACAAACTGGCCAAAGAACAGAAAAGAAGGGATAAAATCCAGGTATGAAACATCTACATGCATGTATATATCATGATGACCAAAATGAAACGTATAATATTTGTCTGTAAACGTTTTTTTCCAGGCTGTGCTGCAGACCAGAGGACAATTGGAGCTGGAGGTGCAGCCTTTCTTTTTGGTTCCCGACACCAATGCATTCATTGATCATTTGGATGGACTGAAGAAATTGCTCCAGAGCAGCACTTACATAATTGTTGTGCCACTAATCGGTGAGACCAAATTACAACAATAATATTTCCTAGCATGTTTCTGTGCTGCCTCTCACTCTTGCTAAGATTAGGCCCTGAGCAGGAACTGTGTGTTTACCCATGCTTATGTTTTATGTTCTATTCCAGTGATTACTGAGCTGGATGGTTTGGCCAAAGGGCAGGACAATGCAGGAGGGGTGGGGTCCGGTGGCCGTTCAAACTCTAATGTAAGTGCTCACATAAAGGCGGTGCAGGAGAAGGCCAAAGCTGCCGTGTTTTTTCTGGAGAAAGGTTTTGAGTCCCGTGAGCCCTGCCTCCGAGCTCTCACCAGCCGTGGAAATCAGCTCGAGTCAATTGCCTTTCGCAGTGAGGACACATCTGGACAACAGGTACATGAAAGTTTTGACAAATAATTTTGAGATACAGTTTCTCTGTAGATACTTCCCTATCCCTAACTATCTCCCCTCTCTTTCAGGGCAACAATGATGATGTCATTTTGTCCTGTTGTCTTCATTACTGCAAAGACAAAGCAAAGGATTTTATGCCTGATAAGAAAAGTGTGTTATTTTAGCGTCCAGATTTTGTTCTTAATACACAATATTTGAATGTTGTATTCATTTCGTTTGCCTTTTTCCACAGATGGGACACAGAGGTTGCGGAGAGAGGTTGTCCTTCTCACTGATGACCGTAACCTTCGGGTCAAAGCTTTAACACATAATGTCCCAGTGAGAGACATCCCAGCCTTTCTGAGCTGGGCTAAAGTGGGCTGAACCGGGTCAACAACAAACTGTGAGGAGCCCAACCGCTAAAGTCTGCTTGCTTCTCAGTCGGACGAGAAGACACTTAAGCAGAGAGAGAAGAGCAATCAGAGAAGAGGGAAGAGTTGAGAAGGCAAGAGAACCACTTGTGGAGTAAAAGTTGTGAGTGCAGGGTGGCTTTTGTGTGTATTTGTGTTAAGATCAGAGAGCTTCCCCAGAAAAGGTCAGATAAGTCTTGGTAAGGCTTGACTTAAAAAGAGGGGCGAGAGCAGTGATGTGCCTATGTCCAGTGAGACATGAGTGTCTGCTTAGCTAGTGTGTAAGAAAGGAGCTAGCAGTATTAAAGGAGACTGAGCAAAGGAGGGGGACAGAGCTATGGTGCAGAGCAAACAACATAAACACGTCCCAAATCTCATACAAGGTCAGCTCAGTGAACAGGAGGAGACAACTGGAATTTACAGAACTCTTGAAACTGGAAGTTCTTATTTAGAATCCAGTTTCATACAACGTTTGATTTTGGTAATAACCATTTACTTTCTGTTGATAATTATAATAATTTATTACTCCTACCCTGTTTTCGTTACCACAAGTCAGTCAAGTCAGTTAGCAGTATGGAGATTCTTTTGTTGCACTTATCACAAAGGATCCTATACTATGATTTCTCTCTAAGAATACAATCTGCTCTGACCTTCACAAAGCTTTTTTTTTTTTCCTCTTTTTTTTTCAAATTCACAAACTTGCTTGTGTTGATTTTTCACAAGAATTTGATCATTTTTAGATCTTGGTTCTGCTTTGATTAGTTTGAATACTAAAATGTGGCATTACAATTAAAATCTAAATCCTAATTGACTAGATGTGCTGCCAGTACTATAGGCTCATTTAATGTGCATTTATTGTCCTCCAAATCTTAAGTTATTTTTTTTATTTTCTTTTGCCTGCTGTAAGTTTGTGTTGCTACAGTGTTTTAACTGTTAATGGTTGTGGGAGTGCAGCTGTAAACCAACCTTTTTATTGTGCTTCATTAAACATTTTAAATATTGGCATATACAGTATTTGAGTTTTTCATTTCAGAAATGTATTGCCATTGTCAGTAAACACAATTCACAAACTAGAAATTTGCATACTACTTCACTGCTTTTCTTAAGGACAACATCTTTATATGCAATCTTACGTCTTATTTGCACATTGCACTAGGTAGAATATACAGACAGCTGCAAAGCTCTGCTTTGTGTTAATGAATCCGTGTAGCGCCCTCATGTGGTGGTTTGTTATTGCGCGAAATTGATGGTTTGTGTATGCAGTTTTTGGTGGCCTTGGGGATATGTTTGCCCCAGATGATCCAAGAATCTGATAACACTTTTGAATTTTCTTATTTGTATCATATTTTGGTTAAGGACCTTGTTCATAGAAGAGTGGGGACCAATTGTATTAATCTCTGTTTTGCCTGTTTTAAAATACTGAAACTATGTCACAATCATAATATGCAAATGTCCCATAATATGAAAATGCTGTTTAAATACATACTGATACTGTCCGTGTGTAAGAGGACATCAAATTCCCTTATATACCCATCCATATCTTTGGCTCCAGTGTGCTTCTATGCCTGGATACAGACCACACAGCCAGGGACTGACTCCCATCATCATGACAACAGGGCTGCGGCTGACCAATCCCGGAGCTTCAATCCTGATGCTACTCTCTGGTTGGTCCAAACCCACAGTTTGTTATGGAATGCTCATCCTTAACCTCTCTGCTGCCAATGCCACAGATATCACTGTATAGTTTCCCACTACAGATTATATACAGATTATAATCCCGTAGTATATGTGTTATGTTATTTTATAATCTATAAATTCATTTTAATGCATTTGTCTTAATCTGCTTGTGCACGTTCACTTTCCATCATTCTTTATATCCCAGTGGCCTAAAAGATTTTCCACACTTGTAAAGACGCGTTATTCTGGCAGGAAATGTATAGTTATAAAACACACACACTTCAAGCGTGTGTTTTAGTCTGCCATGATCTACGTAAAAACATGATTGACCCATTATCCATATTGATTGTCAAACTACTGTAAAACCTCCAAGACGTGGAGTGTACTGTTGAATCAATGGTGTGTTTAGTCGTCTAAAAAAAAAAAAAAAAAAAAAAAAAAAAATCACAATTTGGCCTAAATGCTGACACATTTTACCTGACAATAGCTGGCTATTTATAGAAAAAGGCCAGGCTGGGACTGAAACTGTTAATCAGGTTAAGAGCTCAGTGACAGAAAGAACGTTAGAGCGCACAATTACTTAGTTATGTTCAGGAGTGCATGATAAACATTCACCTGCCACACAGTATAGCTTGGCCAAATCTCCACGGAACTCGCGTAGTGCTTGCAGCAGATCGAGATTGGGGAGGAGGGGGCAACAACAGAAGCTTGTGGGGTGCAGCTGTGGATAATATCGGGCGCTACGTCTCTCCCTCACATGTATTTTCTCTTTTTAAAACCACACCGTCAGCACTGATAGCCTACATTTCTGCTTCGGGGATTTGTGCACTTCTTATTACCGTGATAAAAAGAAAACGAACCACCTCGCCGCCATTTTTAGGGACCAACCTATGAAGAGAAACTTTCTGCCTGACATTAGCAGCGGCTCCCTATTAGCCAACAGCCTGGAGCGCCGTGACAGCAGGCTAGTGTGTAGCCTGGACAGTGCTCTTCAAGGCCGATTTAGCTGTAATTATTCCTCTGATCCATCGCTAAAGATGACGCATTTAAGAGGACGAGTGGAGTAACACATTTATGGAGGCTGAAATTTGGTAAATTAGTTTGTATTGGAAGCGAATGTACAGTTAAGATTAGCAAATTAGCATTAGCAAGTCGTTGCCTCCTTGAATTCTCAAGACTGCACTGGCTCATCTGTGATTTAGCGGCAGTTGTGTTTGCCCTTACCAGATTATTATAACGAGCGTCCAGACCAGGGTCTGAACAAGGTAAGCCTGTCGCCACATCGGCCAAGCGCTAACTCTATTATTTGAATTACTATTCATTTACTTTAAGCTGTGATGCTTGTTTAGCTTGAACGCTCGTTCTCCGTGCTTGTTGCTGCCACTGCCCAATTTGCGTCAGGCATGTTGATGTCCACAAGTAACAGCATATAAACTGGAAATTAACCGCAGGTTTAATTTGAGTGTTTACCTTTTCAGTTAACTCACAATGTACGGTACTAACGTGTACGTTCAAGTTGTTTTGTGTCGCATAGGCACTAAATGAACATTTTTTACGTTGTAATACATTCTGTCCCTGCTCTGTCTTTCTTATTTCATATGTATTTATATATTGTAGTGGCCATACTGCCCTTGTCCTAATGTAATCATACATGAATATGTGGAGTTACGGTTCGTGAATTTATCAGCGTGTTCGAACAGAAGGTAGATCGATTGGTGTTATTTGTGCGTGTTGTGTTGCCGTACTCAATATGGCAGACCAGTCTGAGCATGCGCAGATACATTTTATTGCAAATCGGGAGGCGACACAAATCGGGTAGTGACAGTTGCCGTTCACTAGCGATAGCTGACCAAAAGTTGTTGTCATAACTTGAATGGTGGGTAGTGTCGAAAGATTGGAGCCTGCATAGTTTTAACCAGTAACGACATTTTATTTCAGCATATGGATCAGTAAAAATGCGATTTATAGCATTTAAAGCCATGCTAGCAACATGTTGTGTCAATGTGTTTTGTAATTGGGATAACTAGGGGTAAAATACTGCTTAACCCAAAGAAACGTTAGCCTGCTGCCTTAGCTGCTAATCCGCTTTATGCAACTATCGTTCAGGAGTGTGCCACTCCCTCATTTTTGTTGTTGTCCAGTATGGACTACTGAAACTTGTACATAGAACAACATTTTCCTCGATTTTCTCTTGTAGACAGTATGGTTTATCACCGCATGGGGAGAGCTATCCCATTGACGGTAGGTGACATTGGTCAGGGAGGTGCCGTGTCCATTGAAATGCATGTGTTTTGTGCTGTATTGGACATTAGGCTTCAAAAGCCCGACAGGTCGGTGCTCGTGTGGCTGTAGTGAAACTGACCAGAGGCTCCTGTTCATTGGCTGCTGATGGCTCATTTTTGAGCAGTGGCCAGGCGCATTCCTCAGTTTCTGTGTTGATGTTGCGTAACACTGCCTATCATTCTGCAAGCTACTCCTCTGGGCTTATCTGTGACTTAATTTATGACACAGAAGATGACCTGGACACACGTTCAACTTAAACTTTAGAATGGCTCTGTCTTTTGCACCTAATACTTGCTGATTGCCCTTCTGGCCTTTGAGCAATGAATATGGCTGTTAAGAAGAATATAATTGAGAGAGAAAGTCCCATGACAATTATAGAATTATAGATTTAGTATGTATTGGTTCGAACACATATTTCCTTACTGTATTAGAGCGAACCAATATATTATTAACTCCTAAATGTCATACAAGAAATGGTGCTTGTCTGATCTATCTTTAAAGTAATGTGCATGTACCAATCTACGGGTGTTGGTCAATATTATTAATAGCCATTTTCTCTTGCTTAGAAATAAAGCAGCCAGTATATTTTGTAGCTTGTCAATTCCTGACTACTTCATCACACCTACACACTGTATTAGTGTTAGCTGTGCAGTGTGTTATGGCTTGTATTTTCAGTAAACATTGCGTTGTTACTGCATCATTTTGTCTGCATCCTAAAGGCAAGTACAGCTTGTCCTTCTGCTCTGTTGCTACCCACTGCATGTCTCCCTGCAGCTTGTGTCCACTGTTGGCTCAGTAGCACAGCACCTTATATCGTTTATCAGAGGGAATCTCAGACACAAAACAAGTAGCACTATTTATTGGCCTTGCTGATAGGTAAGGCTATTGAAATAATCACTAAGGCACCTGGACTGTCAAGCCCCCATGGGAATTTTTTTCTCAGTACCTGAAAGTATTTTGCCAAGTTTGCATTTATGTTTTTTTAACGCCATAACTTGTTCAAACACTTGCATTTATGTTTTTTATATGTTTAGGTCATATGCCAGGTTTAGTTCTTTTCTGTATTTCCAGTAGGCCTGCCATGATAATTACTATATCGACTTATACAGTTTATGAAAGCTGGAACTATATATCTTGGGGCTCAATATTTATCAGTAATGGGGGGATTTTTTGTTATTGTTGTAATATGATAAGATTTGTGTTGTACAGGATTAAATAAGTCACTTTTATGGCTAATTATTAGTTTATTCTATTATTTATTTGTTGCAGCTGATGCCTCTTATTGATACTGTCTATTTAGAAATGGTTTAATGGGATTATCAATATGATTTATTGTGATATATTGGGCTTCAAAATGTGTGATCATAACAGGCCTAATTCTCAGTTCATTTCCCGTTTAGTCCACTGTAAACTTGGAAAACAGGGCAATAAATCATGATTCCATCCTGAGACGACCTGCTATTTTGGTGAGATTGTCGTAACACAATTCAGTGATGATCTGTTTAATGCGGTGCTATATTCTATACCCTGTTTTCCCCGCCTACTGTTTTGATTGTTCTGTCTCTCTAAGGCTCTGAGTGAGTGACAGGCAGATTGAACTAATCACAGGAAAGTGTGAACTCTCAGAAGCAACCGATGATTTAGTTACTCCTTAATGGCAGATAAAGATACTGACTAAATTAATTGTGGTGAAATTGGAATTGTGGTCTAGGCTCTAAAAATCATGATTTACATATATGTATTTTTTCACCCTTTGTCCAATAGCTAAGGTCTTTGCATTTAACCCACCTTCTCACAGTGACTGTATGCTGACATATGCATTATGATGCTGCTGTCTTACTATGTTACATCTGTCATCTTAATTGTTATTTGTATAGTCAGTGTAATACATTGAAGAAAAACAGATTAGAGACCTGAAAAAATCTCACGCTGTTCGCTCCAGTTTCAGGTCTGCGGGAGTAAGCACTCATTTGTTTAGTGATCATATATGATATGATATGTGATAGTAATTTAGCAGCTTGTTGGTAAAGCATTTAATTATTATTTG